ATAATGATCCCGGTTTCCTCCTATTTTCTGTTTTTGTCTATTTGCACTGATTGCTTCAACTGTGATTCATGTGCAAGCCTTGAGAAGAGGTGCCTGTTGTATCAATACAGTTCGGCACATGGCCATGGCTTGTAAATCAGTCCAATTCATCCCAAAATGCTCCTTTTCGGTCACATCAGCTATTCAGCTGGCAAACGCAACCCTGATGAACAGCGTACGTTGCATTGCTGAGGCAACTCGTTCTTCAGGTTTATTTTCCAAACCTTAACCTGGAGATCTCCTTTTGCCTTCTTCTCACACAGCACCTCAAAAGAAAGTTTTTCTGGTGGCCGTTCTTCGGGGAATAGGATTTCTTCCTTCTCCTCCTCCCATTCTTGATCATTTTAGCTTTTATTCAGCTTATTAAATGAACATCTCAATTCACTACCCCAGCAAAGGAGGACACTTTCTAAAAGCACCCACCTAGCTTCTTTTTCAGTAGTGTTTGACTACAGAAATTTTAATTGGAGCAGAAGCCATAGTTAAAAGCAGGCAAGTCCTTTTTCCTCATAGCCTCATTGATTTCTGTTGAAGCAAACAGATGAGCTTATATATAAATATGTATATATGCTTTTTTTAATGAAAAGTGCTGGAATTCACTAAAAAAGGTTAAAATTGAAGTGAGTAATCTTCAGTGCATAATGCAATTGTTAATTTTAGCTCCTTGCGTAGGAGCTGTTATGACTTGAACAGCCGGCTCTAGCCTTCATTAGAGAAGAAGCAGGCAGTTTTGAGACAGGTGGAGCTGGATCAAGCTGTGAAAGTGATTTGCTTGAAGCTGGTCATTAGTGTTAGAAATCTGGTCCTATCTATTGCATCCTTAACTTGTACCATGATCATTTCCGTTGTTGTTATTTACTTCTCGTCTTTTTCCAGGTTGACTATGATCCATCAAGCTCTCTGAAGGACCAGCATGGAGATTGGCACTCTGAACTGTTAATGAGGACATGGGACTCACGTTGTCATTGATCATTTGTGTGGACTTAACCAGCGAAGAGCAGCAGAAGACGCTAGAAAGACAGTGGAAATTATAGCAGTTTTTCAGGTAAACGGCTTCTTTAGTGCAGCTGATAAGCTCTGAATGTAATTGTTTTTGTGAACACTGTGTAAGCGTGTAGATGGGCTGCGGGGGTAATATACCCATGATGAACTTGTGCATGTGTGTGCGTTTCTTGATGTAAATCCTTAACAAACTAAGGGTTGTTTAACAGACCAGTTTCAGGTCTTGCCATTTATCGTGTTTTAAATATTTAGTAAAGCGCTTCAGGTTTCAGTTGTAACTGCAGAATAGCCAATGCTGTGGGACTTCCTGGGGAAGGCAGGGGGAGGAAGGAGAACAACTTGAAGCTTGAGTTGGCTTATGTGAGCTAATTTGTGAGGTTCGTAGTCCAGTTGATTTATTTATGTAGCTTCATTTCTTGTGAAATCCACAATCCTTCTCGAATGGGAAGATTATGTAGGAAAGGTTTTGTTATTTTATTTGCTTACGGTGTCAAAACAAAAGCAAAAATTGGAAGAAGTGAGTTTTTAAAACTCAGTGGGTCTTATTTTTTCACTTAAAGCATAGCTTAAAAAGATGAAGGTAAGTGGTATCAGATCTGCTGAATGTTAATTACAAGCTGTAAAAAAAGAAACACGACAAAGTGTGGTTTTGCTTAATAGTCACTGTTTCATTGTTGAGAAGTGGCAAGGTATTGCAAAAGACCCTTTCTTGAAATAACTCCCTTTCTCAACCGCAGTTGTTTTTCCTGAAGATGCTTCTTAAGCCAAATGGATGGGGAAAGAAAAGTTAAATTATTCATGAGTCTCATTTGACAATTGATCAGTGGGGGAGGCTTCAAGAGGGAGCTGGGGGGAGAAAGAGAAAATAATAATAGGCTTTAACTTTGAAAAGCCTTTAAAGCTTCTGTACAACAGCGCATTGTGAGCTGAGAGTAAATGCAGTTCAGTTAAGATATCTTCATTAGAAATACCTGCCAAGGGCTTCCTGTAGGATTTTCATAGTGCTGGGGAGTGACATGGGGTTCGGGAAGAGGCTTATGATTTTAATAATGGAGCTGTCAGTTTGATGCCTGAAGACATTGACCCTGAGAGCTTTATTGCCAGATTTAGATTTCATAGTTATATTGAATTATTGCCTCTTCAAATATATATATATATTTTATTTTTTTTTTTAAACTGGTAGTGAGCACCATGGGCTTCTGCCATGTACCAAAACCATGACTGAGTGCTAAAAACAGTGTTGTTGCTCACACTGGGTTTTCATTTCTGTTTGTTTTGTTTGTTTGGCTATTCCTTTTTCTTAAAAAAAAAAAAAAAAAAAAAAGGAAAAAGAGGAGGTCAAAAAAGTCTAGAGGAGAGGAGCACCAAGATGCCAGGGACCTGGAAGTCTGAATGGATCCTTCCTGCCTGGTGCCACTGAGTTCTGTAGCGGAGAGTCCATCACCATCCTTGCCTGCACCTCTGCAGTCTTGGGGCTGGGGTGGGAGAGACAGGACTGGGGAGTCACAGCACCTTAGCTTAAATCTGATCTTTACCAAGACAGTTTAGATGGGAACTCTGTATAACCTGACAAAATCCTGCAATTATCTGATATTGTCGATTTAGTACATGTCTTCAACTGTGACATATATAACTTTGCACTCCTGAGGTGCATATTTTGATTTATCAAAGGAAATGAAATGACTTGGGAATTAAATAAAAAAAAAATAAAAAAAAAAATTCACCCCCAGTGTTTTTTTTGTGTATGTGTTTGTGTTGTGATATCTTGACCTTTCAGGTCACCAAATTTTGTTATTTTAATTTCTGTCTGGAAGAATGTCTGAGCAAGGTAAATTGAACCAGGAGACAGCAGAGGAAGCTGCGAAAGAGCAGGAGACTGCCATCTCCGAAGCAAACCTGGACAACTGTATCCTTAATAAATCTGAAAGCTCGGAAGTAGAGGAGAAGGAGGAGAAGCTGAGCGATGCCAAGACAGAGCTGCAGGTAAGACAGGAATAGTGAATGGGTGCATTAAAAATCAATGTACTAGCATTACCTTTCCATTTCTATGATCTCTTTCATTACGTACGCTTCCCCTATTTTTTTCTCTCATAATTTTGAGACTGTTTCTTTTTTTCCTTTTTTTAATCAGTATTTTGAGTCCTTTTATCTCCCTATAAAATAAATGCTGTTATTTGTTATACCTTTCAAGCTCTTTAGGCTGCTGTCCATGATATTAATTTTTCTGAGAAGTTAATTCCTAGACGTCTATGTTAAAGCTTGGTGAAATATTTGACTGTTTTTCCTCTTTGGGGATTTAGAAAGCTACCTTGATTTCATGAATTTACAGGTAATACTAATGAATAATTACTTAATGTGTGGTTTGGTTTGTAGGTGTTACTGCCAACAAAAAGTTGTTATGCAAAGCCTAAGAAGGTAATTTGATAAGAAGAATTTATGGGATGAGGGGGTTTTAATCCTTTTTGCTCAATCAAATATAAAAATAAAGGGGAAGACTACAATTTAAGAGGAATTTGGAGAGGGGGAGCATTGACTTAAGTATGCCTTTTCGTACATTTTTATTATATGCAAAATTACAGAACACTGTGCGGTGTGTTTTTCTTGTTTATACCTGTTCTTAAAAAGAATAAAGTGAGCAGAGATGATTCTTGGTTTTCCCTGCTTTCCAGACTGGGTTTGGGGAAGTTGTTTTTGCAGTCAGCAACTGATTAAAATACCATTTAGGAGTGAGTTAATCTCTTTATTTATTGGTAATGCTCGTCATGCGCGCTTTCTGCTGAAGTGATAACTGCTTCTCTTTTTTGCTATACCCAGAAACGAGGTGCAAACCAGAACCAGCAGAAGAAGAGATCCAAGGTAAGGGTCCATCTCTGTTTGGAATTGCATGCCATGGTAGCATAAAGATTTTCAGTCAAATGTCTGTCTGCAATTTAAATGATGGCCTTTCATCACTTGTGTGGTGGTTGAGGTGTGGTGTTTTTTTTTTTTTTGTCGTGTGGGTGTTTTTTTTTCTCCGTTACCCCATAATCTTGCTGCACAAAGGCAGAGGACTTCATGTACATAAAATGTGTCAGGCTCCCCTTTATTTTTCCATCATACTTTTATGCTGCTGGGCTCACTGTATGCTTGTGTTAGACATTGCGTGTGCTTGTGTGCGCCACTGGGGAAGGGAAAAGCTCGTTCCTTTTGCTTTAGGAATTAACATTTTTGTTTGAATTTCATTTCAATGGACTAATTTTGACATAAAGAAGCAGAGACTAAATAGCTCCCTAAGAGAGGAAAAAAAGGAGCTTCTAGGAACAAAAAACCCCAACCCAACCCCTTTTAATTTTCCAAGTGCAGATCATAAAACTTGCACATTTTATTGTCAGTACTCCTTGGATATCTAGAAGAAGGGGAGGTGGAGGAGAACCCAGGCCAACCAACCGAAAAAACCCAGAACCAAATGACAGAAGGAATTTTAGCGTTTATGTTAAATTACCTTCAGTATCGGATTATTTATTCTTTGCTGTCAATGATTTTTGGAGTGAGTGAGTGAATTACAGCAGAAATGATTAAAAGCAGAAAGAAACCTACCACCTCCCTTGTGTGGCAAATGGCTCATTGCTTAGAATCCTGTTGTATCCACAGGCATATCTATCTTCTATCTGTTGAAGGCAGATAACAGTTTTGCTGGTGGGTGAATGGTACTTATTTGGGATATTTAGGGACAGCTGATATATGCAGCTTATGTGACTTGGGGTCAGTAGTAGTGTTTCCTGTTTTGTTTTCTCTCTCTTATTCAGTCAGGAGCTAAAGGAAAACTCGTCCGGAGTCTTGCTGTGTGTGAAGAATCATCCCCTCGCCCAGCAGCGGAAAATATTAATGATAATCAGGTACATCTGCAATCATTGCTGTTAGCTGCATGATTGACCTCCATGTTCAGTTGCATGATTGTGTTACTTAATTGGGCATTTAACGATGTCTTTCTTGGGGGAAAATATTACATCTGACAATGAACACGTTTTTATCAAGTTATCTGGTTTAGCGTGAACTTTATTTTGAAATACTAGTCTTATACTGTATCACAGGGTGTTGTTTGCTTTTTTTTCCAGACCCCCTGAAAGTTTCAGCAAATGGAAAAGAATTCAAAAGAATTCAGATTTTAAAATTAAAAAAAAATAACAATCAGAAAGAATATTAATATGTTCTTTTCTCTAAGGCTATCTCTTTCGAGGCTTCACCAGATACAGTTATGAATATGCTCTGGTTTCTGGTTCCTCTGAGACTCCAGTTCATATCAGTGTGCCCCTTCACATAAAATTCACAGGTCCTTCGCTCTCTAAAATACTTTGGTATTGGAGCCAAGGATGCCTCCTCCTGGGTGGCATTTGTTTTCTAAATTTACTTTTGATGTAGATTTTCCGGTATTGAAAAGCATGTATTTGAGTTTACGTGTACTGGTGGTGTTGCATTCCCAGCAGCTGGGAGAGTTCTGTCCCCTGCACCCCTCACCTCCGGACAGTAACACTGGTGGCAGTCTTTGTAGACTAGCCTCAAAAAATATCCCAAAAAGCAAAAGTAAAAAATCAAATACTCTTCTTTACTTGCCTGGTAAGAGCAAGGCTTACAAAAAAACCCCAAAACAAACCCAAAATGTCATGAGCGCTGCCTATAATTTATGAGATGTTTATGTGCAAATGAGATCAGGCATTGAGAGAGCTTGAGCAAGCTTCTTGTGAGCTTAGCTCAAAAACAAAAAATCACATGTAAGTGTACTTTCTCACTGTTTCCTCTATTGACTTGAAACAAAACAAATCCAGCTCTCTTCTTAGCTCATAAGTATGGAGAGGTTTTTCTATTTTTTTTCGTTTTTTTTTTTGAAAGACCAAAACCCAGGTTGTTTAGCAGGGAGATGTCTACGTGTTCTACTGCTCTATAATGATGCTTATGCAGTAGATGGTCAGGTTATTTCATCAGTGGTTCTGTCGTAGGTATACGCTTTCTGCTTAACTGGCGTTACTCAAGATGCGTGGCTTTTGTTCCGCTTTCATTTGTATTTTCTATTGTTTAATGGAGATTGGAAAGGAGAGTAATATAAAGAGATTGTATTAAGCATCGCATGATGGTTTATAATGTACTGCACAGGACCTGTATTAAACGTCAGAGGTTTCGAGGTAAAAATCTCTGTCCAGATTGCACCCCGACGCCAGGCAGAGGAGGGGTTCCTGTTACACACAGCCTCTGGTCTCACCTGCCTTTGACCAGCCATGGCAAAGGTTTCTTTGACCATATCAAAACATGTACGGGGAATAAAATGCCTCCCTGGGCCCCTGGACCCCAGCATCCACTTCCTAATGACACAATTGGCTTGGTGTAATTAATTAGATAGGAATTACACTTTTGCTGTCACTGACCTTTTACTAATGAACGTGGCTCAGCTTTGCCATGGAAAGCTGGACTGGCAGGCTCCTCCTTGGGCTGGCTGAAGGATAAAGGAAGCTTTGTGCCAACCAAATTGCTTTACTTTCACTTTAGAAGAGTAAAGAAAAGAGAAAAAGCTTATTTTTGGCTTGGAAATTTTTTTTTAAAGATCATTATTTTATCTTAATGGTTTACAAAGCACAGGGAATTCATTACCAGAGAATGTACGGTACATTGCCAGAACTACTGAGTATGGATTGTACTGAAGACTTGATGTTTGTATTTATATTTGAATACTTGCCTTCATTTTCCTGTACAGGGAAAAAACTTGTTTACCTGTATTACTTGATCTTGAACGCTTAACTGATGGTTCACTATGTCCTTACTTAAAAGGAATGTTGCCTTTAATGTTATACTATTGACCAAGAAGTGTATTATTGCAATTTGAACATTTATTTTGTTGTTCACTATACTTACCTTGTACCAATGTATTTCTTAATATTGTATTTTATTATTGAGAAAAATCAATAAAAATCTCAGAAAATATACAGTAGCTTGCTTTCACGACTCTACAGCCCTTTTGTGCGTTTCTTCTAATGTGCAAATATATAAGTATTACGTTATATGTAAGATAGTATCTGCTGTATGTTCATATGTGTGCTTATGTGTAAAGTCTGTCATTTTTCTTTTCATAAGTGCATTTTAGCAGCCACTGCGAAGGTTAGGATTAATATCTTGGCAACAGCATGGCCAGTTACATTTTTCTCCTGTTTTGAAAAGCTAGCGGCACTGCTCCGGGCAGTGCAGGGAATCAGAGTTATCCTTTGGGGTCTTTTGGCAGTGCTTGATCCAAAGTTTGTTGTTCAAATGAGAAATTGAATTGCTGTTTGAAATAAAAGAAAGCAGGCATAACATTAGTCCTCTGAGTGCAACTGAGCAGGTTAGCAAACATTTTTCTATGTATCCGTACCTCAAATGACCAGGAGTTCCCATTCTTTCCCTCTGTATGCTCAATTTTGAGCTTACACTGTCAACAGAAATAGGGATTAAGGAGAGAAGTTCAGGTTAAATTTTGGCTCTAGGGCTTTGTTTCTCCTTTACAGTGCTTTTCATCTCAAGTCTTTTGTGCCACATTTGAACTTCACAAAAAGTCGATAATGATTAAACTGAGAAATTACCTAATTTCTGTCATACTGTGGCATGTTTATGCTGATATCTTGTTTTGTTAGGATCTTGTCTTACATGTGTTGTGGTGGCTGATTTGTAGTTCTTACAAATTTTAGGTTTCTGATTTTTTTTTTTAATAAATATTGAAAGCATCTTTTGAATTCATAATGATTTGGTTGCTTAGGAAAAAAAAAAAAGTATTTTTTCAAAAATTGTGAAGGAAGTGAATTTACTAGCATTAAAGAAACTCTAATTTCTCCTGTATTGGTGAATTTGGTTTCCATTAACATGATGCCAAAAAATTATCAGGCATGCAGGACTCTCTTCTATTAAAGAAAACTGTATTACCAGAGAGTTTTGTGACTGCTTGATTCAAATATGCGTTTTTACACTACTTAAGCATATAGTATTGTTTTGGTCATTTTTTCTTCAGAAGAACATGAACATAGAAGTATACTTCCTTTAATTTTGTCCAATCAGATTGATTCTTCTTGGAATATATAAATTGTGCCATGATAGCTTCAAAAGAAAACCATTTTTGTTTTGTTAAAGCAAAGCCAATATAAAGTCATGTTGTAAGTGGGAAATAACAAGTTCTTTGAAGCAAATTGGAAAATGTAAACCAGCTTGAATTCTTAGTTTTAATTAAGTTTTTAAAGCTGAAGCGTGCTTTCAAAGGGACTTGTAGTCTCTGAAATACTGAATTTTTCAGGATAAAAGTTGTGATGCCTTGGAGAAGTTCCCTTACTCCAGTTGTTTGAAAATCGCTGTGCACATTTCACCTCTTTTGCTAAAGGCATGTTTCCATATGTCTTTAAATATGAAGTACCCAATAAGTTTGTAAGCTGTCTTGTACACAACTGAGTTTATAAGTTGCTGACATTCTGCTACTGTCAGAGCCTGAAAGCTCAGTCTAGCTGATACTGTGCTTACATGTGCAAACAGTTCATACGAACCTCCCGGATTTTTTAGTGAGGAGAAAAAAGCTACATTTTTCAGACATCCATTGCTCATCATTTAATATATGCAGGATTGATTAAATCATAGAATTACTTAAGAAAGCCCGTATGAAATATATTTCACTGTTCTAGTAAGTCCGAAATGAGAATTAATAAAGCATAGAATAATATAGTGCTTTTAATATAGATAGACTGAAAGTTTATAGTATTCAAATATTAGGGAAGAAATACACTTACCACTAGACTTTGGCCTCTAAGATGTCATTATTCTTCTTGAAAAAAGTCATTTTTCAAGTAGGAAAGAAATGTACCTGGCTTCAGCTTTTCTAGCTACACACAGTTTAACCCAAATCTCTGCAGGCTGGAAGCTATGGGAGGCTTACTGAATCTGGCCTTAAATTTATCTTTCTTTTTTTCCCAACAGGAATCAATCCAGCTACAGCTTTCAAGTTTTCCTAGCTTGCAAGAGGAAGATAAATCTAGTAAAGATGACTCCGAGAAAGAAAAAGAGAAGGATAAAAATAAAGAAAAAGATAAAAACAGTGAAAAAAACAAGATCAGAATGTTATCAAAAGGTGAACTTACTAGTATTTAAATTGCTATAATTGCTGTTATGAAAAGAATTGTGTTTTTATAAGCATGCATTTCTTTATTTGCATATAAATACACAATAGAAGTGTTTTCATACATTGATAAAATTCAAAACCTGAAATATGTATGCATGAGAATGTTTTTCATACAAACATCAGGCTTTGAAAGTGAAGAAACCTTCCAAACTGAGGTTTGGTGTTGGAGGTTATTAATTTTCTTTAATATCAAATCCTTCCTCTGAATACTTAACCATGTTGGTATAAACACATATATATAAAAGAATATACGTGTGATTATCCAGTAAGATAAGTGTAAGACTCTAATACACTTTTTCCCCGTTAGTGGTAATATATTGGCGTGGCATTTGTGTAATGTAAGCAATAGAGAGTAATCCTTTTTGCTACTGCTTTTCTCTTATGGAGAATTTATCTTAAATGTTATAAGGAAGTCCATTCATGACCTTTAACCTGCATTGCAATCTACTATGATCCTCTACTAAGACTTCTTCAGAGAAGATTGTGTATTTAAACTTGTTATTTTTAAAAAAATCTTTTTATTAATCCATGGTATAAAGTTGCAGTGTAATCTCTTAAAAATAATCATTGCCTACCTGGGTGTGGGTCCGCAGCTGATGTGAATTGTCAGTTGGCTTTAATGGAGCTCTCACAGTTCACGCCAGCTTGAGGAGCTGTGTGTACTTTTGAGTCAGGCGATATAGCAATGCTGAAAAATTAATTCTGACTAATGTCACGCATCCTTATTACCTGCCCACTCTCAGGCATCACTGGATTTCAGTATGTTAATGCCAATATAATTCCCACCGGCACGATGCCTCATTTTCTGTGTGTACAGCAATTATTAAGTGATGCAGTGAGACACTGATGAATAAAACTTTTTTTTCTTTTCAATTTTTAAAATTTTATTTAATAGTTCAAAGGAAGAACTTGGCAGAGTCTTGAGTGACATTGAAGGTTTCCCATGATTTTTAAATGACCAACACTTTCTGTCAGTGTCTAGTTTTGGTGCTGCATTCTCAGTAGAACAGTATAGAGGAATCATGAATGTCCACCCGATGCTTCTGAGTGTGGATCTTTCTTGGCTGAAGTCCAAATGAACATCTTTCAGAGCATGTGCTTTCAGATTGTTGCTGGAAAATGGATTTTGATTTGCAGCATAGCTTAATCGTAACTCTTGAAGTGAAATAAATGGGGATGTGTGTGTTTGTTTTTATTTTTCAGATTGCAGTCAAGAATATACAGACTCAACAGGCATAGATTTGCATGAGTTTCTCATTAATACATTAAAGAATAACCCCAGGTAGGTATTTTCTGTATTAGAGCTGGCACTCCTGAAATTACAGCTGATGATCTCTGAGTTCCTGTAACTATACACTGTGTTTTATTACTTCTGGAGAATGGTTATGAGGGAAAACATAAAGGAGGTAGGCTGTTAACTGAGCAAAAAGCTGTAAAAAGTCACCAACTTATACTCCTCCATCCGGTCACTCATTGCTTAATTTCACGTTTGGTAACATCTGATCTTTGTCCTTACCTTCCTACATATAGCTCTACATGATTTTTAACAGTAATAAATTATAACCATTGCAGCTGGAGATTTGTATATGAACATGAAGTAGCTTTCTTTTGGCAATGCTGTACACAATTAAAATCCTGTGCACAGTGCCGAATTCTGCTCTCAGTATTCCCATGGTTTTCGTTTGGAGCAGCGAGCTTGTCTTAACGTTAAATTTGCCTCTGAATGCCTAAGGAATCATCTGTAGTGTTTTTATATGTTGTGATTTTCAACATTCATTTCAATGGAATCTGTTAAATAAGTACCATGTAATTCTGCAATTATAGGAGAACTAGGAATAATTGGGTACCTAACAGCGTGCATAACCTCTTCCATAGATGACATAAGGTCCTTAAGTTGTTTTATCTGCATAAAATGAGAAAGTTCAAAAGAGCTAAGGAGTGATGGACTCTGTCAAGCTCAGACAATATGTATGTATGGGAATATGCTGGGGAAATCTTTGGATGTTTTTGGCAGGGGAGAGAAATGTCTGAGACCTTCCTGTTGAAAACAGAGCATTTTGACTGAGAAATGCTGCAGCATTGCCTCCTGGGAGACATAGTTCAAAGACAATGTTCTCCATTGTGCTCTCTCTAACTAGATTAGATGTGCCCAGTCTTCTCGCCTGCAGATCAGTGCCTCGTGGAAGATGTGTCTCAGACAAAATGCTGAAAATTTCTGTGGTAACAACTCTCCTCATGAAAGAGCTAGATTAGCTGGAAATCTCATTTTCCATCAAAAAAGCCGTGAAAAAGGACCAGAGGTATCCATAGCAGTCAGAGCCTTTCTATGCAAGGTGTCGATCCCTGCCTGGTGTGGCTGGAAGCACTTTCAGACCATACTTGAGCTCAGGGAAGAGCTAACTCTGTCACATATGTCAGCAAAGGTGCAGTAAAGCAGGCTGCAATCTTCTCCAGATGCACCAGGGCAAAGCACATTTCATTTTTAATCAAGACGTCTGACAGCGCTTGTAAAATTGCCTTACAAACATCGATATGTGCGTTTTTTCTTATAAAACGTCTGTTGGTTGTTGATGCTACAAGCCCTTGTGTTTCTTTTTGACAGGGACAGAATGATACTCTTGAAAATGGAACAGGAAATTATTGATTTTATTAGCGACAACAAGTAAGTTGAGTTCCCCGCTTGGTTGTTAAGTCATGTGTGCGTGTAGCAGCACGAGCTGTGCAAGGGATACGTTCTTATGGACCGCAGCGCTCCAGAGAGCTGTTACTGGCACATTGCATGATCAGACTTTTAGTTCCTGACACGTGGGTGGTACTGCTTAAAGCACAGTAGATGTAAATGAAAACGTCATAATTTTTCAGTGGTTTCCACTGGCTCCACTCAGTTAGGTCCAAAAATGTAAGTAAAGCTTTCAGTGCAGAGGATGATCAAATACGCTACCTTGCAGGTTTCCCTGGGTGCTTTGTTATTCTAATGCATTGGAAAATAAAATTGCACTTGGGTGGAAGGGATTCTTGCTGCCATGTGCTCTTTATAATGAAACGTTTCTGCAGCTTTAACAAGTACAGTCAGAGTAGGAGCAGAGGGAGAAATTATGCTGACGGGAAATAAGCATTTTGTCAGTGAGAGAGAAAAAAGGAGCATTTGCCAAACTATATCTCTCCAGCATCGCCCTGCGTCTGACCTTTGGGAGAAAGGCAGAGAGCGTTGCCAGTATCTCAGCAAATGTGCAGGATTGTTTGTGCAGGGAGCGTGAGTGTGTGTGCGGGGTCGGGGGACGAGTTCTTCCCAATATACAGAATACTCAGCAGATACCATGAAGCGTGAGCTTTGTTTGTCCCAATGAAGAGCATGGAAATGTGCTTATTAGGAACTCTAAAAATAATTCCTTACGTTTTCAGCCTTCTTGTAGGAAACATTTATATGTAAATGCATAAAGGAGAAGTTTTCAGTTAGATTTCTGTCAATTGAATTATTGAATATATTGTTCTTTTCATTTAATTGTAGCTCAGAGGAAAATATTATTATCAATGCAATTTGTTTTCTTTTTTTTCCAGCAATCACTATAAAAAGTTCCCTCAAATGTCGTCATATCAGAGGATGCTTGTGCACAGAGTGGCGGCTTACTTTGGAATGGATCACAATGTGGATCAGACTGGAAAATCTGTAATTATCAACAAGACCAGCAATACAAGAATGTAAGTAGCAACACTATTGTGTTTTTCCTGTTCCCTTTCACAAGAGCTGATTTGTACCATGACTCCTTGGCAGTTGGTTGGGGTTTTGTTTGTTTGATTGTTTTTTTGTAGCAAGAGCGAGTGCTGTTTATTGCTTTCTAGGGTGGGAGGGAGGACAGGGCTTGCATTGTGAGGTTGTTTAAGGATATAAAGATGCATAAGGAGAAATCAACCCAATTTGTCTCTTGCAAGAAACTTAAGGCAATATCTTGGAATGTTACTTTCCTTGGACTCCTTAGTGCCACTACTTTCTTACAGAAATGAGCTCGTTGCTTTACATGTCACCTAATACCATATGGCTATATTCCTAAATAACTCAAACGTATTTGGAAGATTGCCTCTTCCCATGTTCTGGCTCTCCTTGCTTCAGGAGTCATTTTCTGCCTGACTGATTTTTTTAGGCTTTGGTTCTTCTCCACCACCTGCCACCATTCATTCCCTTTTCCTCCTCCTCTCCCCTCCTGGTTCCACTTTATTTTCTCTTCAGATCTCCTTGTTTTGACCACAGAGTTTTTGTGGGATGTAAATTCCTTCTGATGGTTCAAATGCATTGCAAAATTCCTGGTAGGTTAAACTTGTGCTGGCATGCGTTACGCTCTCCTCCATAAACCTGTATAAAGCTAGCAGAAGCTCGATACGATGTTCCTTGGCTAATTCTGCAAAGATGCAGTCATGTGTCCTTGCTTAATCAGTATCACTTGTTCGGCCAAGTGCCACATGCATGTTAACCATCATGGAACCGTAGCTTTCCTCTCCCTCTTTACCTATGAACTACATAATGAAGAGGAAGTAATTACATCTAGGTAATGAAGTTTTGGTATCTGGTATTGAAACAGGAAAGCCCCATTTGAAAATTGTGTACTTCCTGTATTCAATTAGTAGGAGAAATAAAAACATTTATTTCATTTACATATCCAGCAGTTAGATGATTTACTTAGACTCAGATGCAGAAAGTGGTTTTGGTTTTTTTTTTTTAATGGTATTAGCTTCTCCTCTGGCAGGCTAGAAGGGCTACCTAGTTTTCCAAGATCAAAACCTGAGCCAGACACATTAGTATTTGTCTTTCACTGAGCCCTAAATATCTTCCATGTGTGTGAAGTAAATTTATTTTAGATCCTTTTCGTGGGCTCTCTCTGAGATATTCGGGCATCTGTAAAACAACACTTTGACATCAATGTTTTTAAAGGTTTGAATAAAGCATACACTAACAGTCTGATTTTCAGAAAGCAAGAGAGTTACAGTGGCTCGATAAAACTAACACTCAGGCTGCAAAGGCTTAGCCTCAAGGTCTGCAAATACCTGCCCCTGTGCAAGGGCTGTGTTTGAGTATGAATAAGAGCGAGCTGGGTATGCAGCAAAGTGGTGTTCAATTTTGAGCTGTAAATGAGAAAAAAAATAATCAGTTTATTTTTAAACAAAACACAATCAATCATATTTGAATGCTTTTTAGGCATTCCTCTCTCTTTATAGTTCTCCCTTTTCCCTTCACATCTGTGTCACCTCTGTAGTGCACAAACTGCTACAGATCTTTCCTCACAGCATTGCCTTCTCCTGGTTGACTTGTTAATGTGATAATGTCACATTAATGTCTGATAATGCTTTGCTCGATTGCGTGGCTGGGCATTGCAGAGACGGGCTGCACTGGAAGCGCTGTTGGAAATGCTTGTATAGTGCTTCTGGAGAGGGCACTGAAGTCTTCTTCAGCAGTCAAAACTTTATCTGAGTGCTCTGGTGAAGCTGTGGCTTCTTGTGTGGTGGGAATGAGCGAGCAAGGCTCTTTACCAGGCATGGACTGGTATCCTTGTGGGCAAGCTCAGCGGGCAGGACGTTGCAGGGGTGTAACGGATTGAAGGACCCTTTCATCTGTGAAGGTGGTCTTGCAAGCTGGAGGTGAGGCACACAGCCAGACAAATTGGTTCTGACACCATTCTTGTGTAGATCTTTGAGAAATAAGCACAGGGTTTTGCCCATCATTTAACTGTGAGTATAGCTGCTTTGTAAGTGCCACAAAACTGCAGATTTTTCCCCTTCTGCTGGGATGTGTTGGTACAGAACTGAATTATATGGAGCTTGTATTGCATCATAGTGCTTCCAGTGTGTTATTTACATTATTTTGATGCTGCTGTAAAATAAAGCTTTGTAGAAGTAGCTCTTTCTTTTCATAATTGGAGGAGATGGCATGTTTGGTGGTTGTTTTTTTTTTTTTAAAACGTCCCTGGCTCTGACAGAAAATAGGTTGTTATTATCCAGCATGAATAAGAGCTGATGAGATTTTATTATCCACAGCAAATACTGTGTAAGTTCCACATCTGAAACCATCTGATGTGATTTCATGTGTTCTGCATTTCAGTACTCTCAGAGGAAACAATTTTGTGCAGTTCAGAATCAACACCAAATACTGGGAATGTGTTGACTTTATTAATTACTACTTGGACATTGTCCAGAATATTGGAGAATCTGGAGAGCAGCTGAAATGCTGTTCAGCATGGTTATACTGTGCTGTAAGTCTGAGCTTTGATAGTTTTATGTGAATTCATGGAGAGAGGCTTCATAGACAGATATTCTGAAGATTTGCATTTTGACAGTAAATTATCTCTTTATGGCATAAATATATGGTTTCCAAAGTGCTTTAGCTGCATATTGTGGAGAGGGAAGAATATTCTTGCATACTGAAAAATTCATAAATTCTGCACTGTCTGTGACTTCTGTGTTGCGTGAACCTGTTTGGGAACAGCATATGACTCCGCACAGTGGCTGTGTGGGCTTGAATAAGCACCATGTGGCTTATTTCCCTGGCCGAGAGAGGGTTTGTGTCACATCCATGCTCACGCTTGCAGGTGATGAGTTGTTCCCTGGTTCCAGGCAGTGAGGTGCATTTATTCGGTTCAGCGGAGACTTCCCGCGCTCGCTGCCCGCAAGTGCTTGGAGGCACAAGTGTCAGAAGAGTTAATGGCTTTGAGATGAATGGGCTGTTTGGGAAAATCTGGTAACAACGCTACCTTAAAGGTGTCAGAGTAGGCTCTGTCAAACAGGGGACTAGGGTATGGATAGAATGGATGGGGGTATTTAATTTCTTTCATCAATTGGCCATCTCAGGGCAATGTATATCCACTTCTGTGCACTTGTGCCTGTAAAAGTACCTGCTTTTCAGGGGCTTGGAATTGGAGAAAGTGCTTATTGAAGAGGTTGCAGCTGGAAGGAGGGCTGTGGCTTGTCTGGTCAACCATGCTGCTTTTCAGAGAGGAGAAGATGATGGTAAAAATGCACCAGTACTTGAATCTCTCTGGGACTGCAATCCTGGAGCTTTAGTGAACTCTCAGCCAAGTCTCTCTTGAAAATACGGTCAGACCATAATGATGGTTTTGCAGTCTGAAGAATGTTTATGATAAAGAGCTTAATCTAAGGTGCCTCTTATTTTATTTAGTTTTATTGAAATGTGAACAGGTCATACTATTTTTGAAACCTTTTTATGAAATGACATTTTAAACCACAGAGAGATGACGTCATCTACTCAAATGTTTGTTAACCTTCGTAAAGTCTCTGTACTCTAGCACTCATTACAGAATAGTGGATTTTTAAAAGCAAATTATCTGTCCATATGATTTTTGAAATAAAGACTAGGTTAAAAAGGGAGAACAATTTTGAAAAAGAAATACAATTTTTCATGGTCTCGTATCTTACAAAGTCCTGCCTAACTAAATTGTCCAACTCTTAAAAATCTTATTCTCACCAGTGTACATGAGAAAAGTTAATCAGAAAACGATGAAGGGTTTTTTGTTGTTGTTTTGGTTTTGTAGTCAAAGAGCTCAAATACTACTTAAAATGGGAAGTCTGCTTTGTTCCTTATGAAAGTGCTCTTGTGTCACCATTGTAATGTATATTTGTCTGTCACCTGTGTCTGCCTGTCATCTATCTAAAGATATACTAAAATGAACAGGGAACTTAAGACAGTCAAATACGATATAAAGAGAAGCTTGGAATTGGGGTAATATGTCAGGGCATCCCAAATTGGAGGCAAAAAAAAAATGCGTATGTGCCACCTATTCTCTATATTCCTTATAATTCCTATCAAACAACTGGAAGTACTTCAGAGCTTTTTGCACAACTGTTCATGTTGTTATACTTACCAGTTCAATCAGATTCATTCATTTGGTTATTTGTAGATTGGTGGAGAAATGTAGGGGAAGTGTGTTTCATGTGCTTGTTAAGTGAAAAGGGTTTTCATTTGGTTGAGATCATCACCCATGTGACAGGTATGTCTGTACCACAGCCCACACAGGCATTCACGCACGTTTTTATATAAGTGTGAGTGGCAGATCTCATCAGAATTGAGAAGGTGGAGTGCTTATGATATATAATGGTTGTATTTAGACATTTTCATACATTCTGAGGGTGTAACACATCTGTTAAAACTTTGTACTGATACTCATGTCTTCAGTTATGACTAATAATTTTTCAAGAGCATCATGAGTTATAATCCTTTTAATATTTAATTTTCTTCTTACTCTGTCAGTAGATAAATGTTAATGTAATATTGGCCCAGTTGGAAGGCTTTTTGGGGCCTTTGAGATGCATCAAAAACTTTGGGCAATACTTAGATGTTATGTGTATTACTGATGTTCCTTTATAACCTAGAGGTGAACTGTATCAGCAGCAGGAGACATAATGTACAGTATGTACTTTGAATAACCTGCAAGACTGTCATAGTTATGACATACAATTTGTGTTACTCTGTCTCCTCTGTGTAAGAGTGCCTTGAATCACAAGCACAGAAAAGTTCTCATTAGGTTTCTATTGTGTACACACTGAGTGATCTTGTTGTAGATAACATCTGTGCTAGTAGAGGTGCGCTGTGCCAGTGTCATCATCTTAAGATAAGAATCTGAACTTTGGTACAGGATCCTGCAGACATGTCAGTAAAATGGCGTTCACTGAACATTGGCAATTTCAATGAGGAATAGTTTTTAGATTTTTTTTTTTTTTTTAACCCTAGGCTGAAGTGCCAAGAAGACTTCCTTGAGATGCCAAATGTTACAGCCTTTGGAGCATGCAGTAAAGTTTCCTTCTCCCTTGAATGAGTAACATATTCAGTGTAAATGACTAACTTCTTTAAGTAGTTGTTTGCTGATGAGGAAAATGGGACATTTCCCACATGCAATTGGTAATGGCTCTCTGTATACATGAACGCATAGACCTTATTTTTTGTAAAGTCTCAGTCAAAGCAGTTCAATGCTTGCCAGAGAGGTTAAAGCACAGTTTTGGGTTCCCCCCATCCACCACATTGTAACACGTAATAGTTATCTGTCAAAGGTTTTGCTGTATGGTGTTGCATCTGCACTTAAGCACCTTATGCTATCCTAGATTATCATATATGCACACAGAGTAATGATCTCACGAGAGTAGAATCACTTTTGTGAGCTACATGATGCAGGAAAAGATATGTCAACACCATTATTTCTGGTTTTACTTTTTTTCCTGGAAGTCTTGCATTACTTTTCTTAAAGACACTATGGAGTCTGCTCTGTTCCTCTGTTTCCTGTTGTAGTTACTTCTTTGCTGTCTTCACTACAGAATAGTTGCTCCTTGACTACTAAGAAATAAGCAGAAACTGGGAATATCTGTAACTTTCCCTCTGGTTTGCAATTGCAGTTGCCCAATCATTATACCAGTGTCATATGTTACAAACGTGCAGACTAATATAAGGATATGTACTAGTTGTATGCAACTAAAATGGAAAAAACATATAACTGAGAAATGACACTATAATTGACTGAGACATTTTGTTCCAGTTTAAGATGAACTAACATACTATGCAACTAAGAATTTGGTAAGAACATCAATAAAACAATAATGTGTAATAGCTATGGGCTTATGTAGCTACACAGTAACATATGTAGTATTTAAGTAACAAATTATATTAGATTTAATGGATTTCATTTCTTTTGCATAAAAAAATAAACTATTTATTTCAATCTGAGATTAAACCAGGAAAGTGGTAAGAAAAAGCTTTTGCAGTATAATAGTCATTATGTTTAGGATGCAAGAGCCCAGTGTCCTGGCAGTCGTTGATGTGATGCTCAGGTTCTAGCCTTCAGCTCCTTTCTGGCCTTTGCTGCTGCAGCCCAGAGCTGAGCAGCGCATCCCTGAATGCCGAGCAGGGGAAGGCTTTCATATCTGAGGAGTGGGGAATTTCCCGGAAAAAGTGCTTCAGAAAAGCATTAAGGAGAATTAGACGTTTTGCGTTGAGTTTCAGGAAACATCTGACTCCAGCAGTGGCCTGAGCCTCTTCGTGCCTTGGCTTTTTATCGCAGGAGAGAGACGCTTGACATGGAGAAATTGTCTTTCATCCAGTCACATGGTGGCTGGAGAAGTGACTCGGGGCGTACATGTGTTAGTAACGGGTAGGGATTTTAGCAATATCTTGCTGTTATGCTACAGGCATTTGTTTCTGACGTACAGTCACCGCTGTTCCACTAAATGCATTATTGGAAGGTTGTGCACATTCATTATTTCACTGCTTGATGCTCATCTGGAAGAGATTGATTTTTTTTTTTTCTCCCAGTCTTCTATTTTTTTTTGTTTATTTTGTTTTTTTCTAATGATACTTAAATTAGGACAGCCTTTTTTATCAACAGGCATTCTTTCATTTTAGTCATATGCCTATTTTACATGAAAGATAAAAAAGAAAAAAAAATAAAATACTTTGTACGCTTGAGCTGAATTTGATCCTTAAATACTGGCTAAAATACTTTGTACACTTGAGCTTGAGCTGAATTTGATCCTTAAATACTGGCTTCATTCTTACTTCAGTCAGTGTAAGCCATATACTGGACCCACGGAAATTACTTACTCTGTAAATGAGATGTTTGGGTTAATGAACCAGTTCTAATAGTACCAATGTTAAATTTTCATCTAATGTAATTTATCAAAACTAAATTGTTTATAATTAAAGTGGACATGTACTTTACAGCTGTTCTATACTGTAATGAAATATTAGTTAAACATTAATCAAAAGGCATATATGGTATTTCTTTTTTTTCTTTCTTTTTTCTTTATTTTTAGTCCTTAAAATTGCACCACTTAATAGTATAAATTTTTATAAATCTAAGAGGTTATCATCACCTGCTCTGTGTGGAGAGATGGGAGGTTACCCAGGAGGAGAGTGCTAGGTAATTTGGTTAAGGGAAGCTCTTCCTTGCGTGAGTAATTAACCCATGTCTTTATGTGCTTGTCTAAGCTGTAGTAGGAAAGTGTCTGTTAATTGAGATGCTGTTTGTTTTTTATACTTTCAAATCACTGGAGGCAGATCTGGAAATTTGAAATGGCTCCCATGCTGTCCTCAGAGGTAACTGTACATTGGTGGTAGGTGAAATAAAGTCTTTAAATCTGGGTGTTTCAGAAATTAGGTGCTGATATAAGACCAAGTGAACTTTAGAGGTGGTCCAAATTGGTTTTAGTAATTACCTTTTACACTTCTTTTGCCCGCCTCTTGTTTAATGTAGGAAATATGGCCTGATCACTAGAAATGAAAAAAGTATCGTGAGTTTTGAAAAAACTTTATAAACAAAGTTAATTGTTTCTTCTTGCTGTTTCTGACATAGCCTGGTGAGGCTGTCTCTGAGAGGTTATTAAAAATAGGCACCATTCTTCAGGCCAGTGGTTGTTCAGGGCATGACTTCTGATTCATGCGTCTTCCTGCTGGAGACTGAGAAAATACTCATGGTCTGAAGTAGAAGTAGGCACAAGAATTTGTTATGGTATTAACTTTTAACATATGGGGTGTTTCAAGAGGACTAATAGTTTCTTCACTAGCCCGTTGGCTTTTGGGGAACCATCTTGCCTTCATTGGTAGTCTTCAAATCTTGAATTTACTTCCTTGTTCTCTCTCTTGTTAATTTTTCAACTTCTAAGACAGAAAAATGTAATTTTAAGTAGATCACAGTAGTTACACAACACTAATTTTCAACCACTTACAGAGTATGCCACATCCTTAAAATCAAATATTAATGAATTCCGTAATAAACCATGCTACCACTTATGAGCCTCTACTAGCTGGAAATAAGTTGGCACTGTGCAAGATGTTCAGTCTCAATAGACATCTGGAATATCAAGAACGAAATCCAGTCCAGCAGAGCAGAAGCAGGAGAAGCAGGTCCTTCAAGTATAGAAATAGTCTGATCACAGAAGGACAGCAGAGCGCTTTGAAACTCCTAAAATGGTCCCTGTCTGAGAGAGGGCTTTGCGCTTCAGCCCTGTCAGCAGAAGAACTGGTATTTCAGTGTGGCCTTGGACTGCTGGATTTTCCTGAGTTCAGAGGCAGATTCCTGTGTTCTGG